TTTTTTAATTGCTTTTTCGAAGCATATTTTTGCAAGTAGCTAATGGGCTACAGAGCTGAATTAGCCTTTGTTCTCAACAGTCCAAAATATCACAAACCAACACAATAATCAATGGATGAAGACGACATACTGCCGCCACAATAGGCTTAAATCCCCCTATTCAGTGGGCATTGGTAACCGACTAACCACACGCCGGACTGAAGTTCAGACTGGATCAGGATGAAGGAATTAACACTGTTCATGTAATCTGGGTGCGTCAACTTTCACGTCATGATAACTAACTGATTGAGCCGATTGTTGCTGGTCCTTCTACCAACAATACCTTAATCCGAGTGCACACGCTCGCGTGCCGAGAATTCCTGTGTAGAAATGACGACTTAACTGGTTTGCGTATGCACACGCACAAACAATCAGAAAACAAGACATGGCTTGAACTTTGATCATGACAAACGAAAACCAACCCTCCCCCACGAATCACACACAACCGATGGTGGTTAACAAACACACACAGCAACAGCAAACACAGTCGAGCCAATCCCATAGGTCAGCTTCAGATGTCGGCTGTCCGGGTCATCCGTCGCTCAGGCTTGCTTATCACTCTCTGCCTAGCTCTATCATATGGCCCCCTATCACTAGCACGCGGCCTCTCGCACAGCCCCTCTTTGCATTCACTACAGCCGTCATCGGTCGTGTGTGCGGGCATGAAGGTTCATTTATCATCCTTTGTGACGGTGGCCACCACCCAACTAGCTGATGTTGTTGAAATTCTTGTCTTGCCTCAATCGCCAACACGGCAGCTATGCCCGTCGACATATGCAAGCAGTTATGATTAATGGGCGTAATAATGCTCTGGTTGGTCGAATGCGATGGTGATTTTGCGTTAGCTTCAACTTAACACACACACACTTTTGTTAGCCCTCAGTGTTACGACATAGAACCCAAAGAACGTGTCTGACAACTGTGCACATCTTGCGCGGACAAAACTTGACTTCTGTTGAACAATTATGTCTGCGAATACGCACACTCTAAGTACCCCGGTCAAATTTGTTTCAGGCAGTCTATGCAACTGACCAGCTGTCCAAAAAGATCGCAATAGAAATCGGAATTTTCTGGATGATTCTGTATGGATTATTTTGCCCAAAACCAGGATGCCTTTGCACGGACCTAACCTGATTATTTTGCTGTGTTTTATTCTTCCTGTCAGTAAACAAGTGAGAGATATTCTGGTGGCAAACCAACCGGCCGATTCGAATGAATCGAACGTGAGTGATGACCTACTAGTCGTGGAGGAAAATGTAAGATCGGCTGAACAGAAACCAGGTCTCAATTTCAGAACACCTCCTGTATGGAATAGGAACTTTTCGCACCCCGCACATCGAAGTTTCCAGCCGCCATATTGGAGAAATTCTGTACCACAAATGGGTCATTCTAATATACCGTACACAGCTTCGATGCAACGAGCGCGTTCGCTTGAACCATTCAACCCATCTACCAATACCTACCGTACTTTAAACCGGCCGCCGCCTGAAACGTCCCGTTGGAATAAAACATCGGAGACTGTTTTCGGAAGGCAGGAAGAATTGTCAGCACACCCACAGAAACAACAGACAGACAGCGGGGACCAAGAGAACACCACCGTTGCTCCATACGAATCTGAACAGTCAGCGAATTCAGGTGCTGAAGACTTTGTTGGACCAGATGGTAGACTACGTATGACCATATGCGATCATCCTAATGGGTTTTTGCGTCGACAGAAGAAACTTTGTCGCCGGTATCTACATCTGATGGAGAGTGTAGTTCATGGTTATTTTATGGGCCTTCGTGAGTGTGAATATCAGTTCGCATCACATAGGTGGAATTGTCAAGGACATAACTTAACACTCCGGATTCCACCGAAGGACAAACGCCGACTCAGGTTTCGCCAATCACCTGCAGAACGAAATCCTTCAAAGACCAACACGGTGAAGATAAAAACATATCTAGACAAGCTTCTGTCTAAAGGTAAGTCCGAAATTTACACTATTCACAATGTTCCACCGTTTGTGCTGTCCACTTATCCAGGTTTAACACTATTTGCTTCCCTAAAAGTGATTCCCCTATCATTTGAACTGTTACAGACTGTTTCTAAGATTGTGAAACACGTCAAGGCAAGGTGGATTACTGACAAGTTTACCTCAGAGCAGTAACAAAGTGGACCCCGGTAACCAGGTGTTTGAATTTTGCGGTATATCCAACAAGGCCTGACCGCATTCAGGGGCTAATGACAACAGATGCAGATTACAACTATCCCTGTAGAGACAAGCTCCTTAATGTTTCTTGATAAGGAGTTTGGGAGGTAAATACACGAAACATGTTATTTATTCTCTCCATAGGTCACTCACGAAGGGTGATAAAGCAGCCCCTATGTGAGATGCGTCTTTCCGTGAGAGAAACAAACAAGACCAAGCGTCATCTGATCTCGTACTATAGCTGCTACCTTTGCTAGATAGAAATACAACATAACTCTTAGGAGGCCGTAGTTTTGAGCCACAAATACAAGAATTTCTCGCCATGGTAGACTGCGCTGCGCCGGTGAGCAACGTTCAGCTCAATGTAGTCACTTATGCCTCGCTATTTAGCTGCATATCGGTTGAGAAAACATAAACCACGTATGCCCCACAATCGCTCCAAGCTCACTGGTGGTATTCATTCAATTTTCATAATTCGGTTTCAGCCAGTCTTTTGGCTAAAAGCTAATGGAAATCCGCCATCCTAAACGAAGCTAAGATCAAAAGGAAGGAATTTTACGCACCTTGTATCCTATGTCTACTTGTTTGTGGTCCTGTTTTCGACGTCAATTTTTCAGTGACAGAAATGCATCCAAGACTGCATATTTTCCTGTAGTTGGTGTCATCTTATCTTATCTAAACTCCCAAACAAGCTGTCACAGACGAATAGGCTAGGGATAAACCGAACACCACTTACCGTTCCACATGACTCGAAACCACAAGCCATAGTTTACCCAATTGGAGAGATTAGCATAATCAACGAAAGGACAACTCGCTTCCTGGGGTTTAATGCGCCCTCACAGGAGCATATAAGACAGGAGTATTACTCAAGTGGGCGTTAGTTCGTGGGAGTATTGTGCTTCAAGTTTTGAGAACGCCATCTCGAAAAACAACACAAATCTGGGCATCGCCGGGGCGCATTCAATTTTGCAGACAGACGTGTGAACAAGACCAACTGACCACTGCCCCCCAAACTTCTTATTCAGCACCCGTTTCAGTGTCTGGTACTAAATACTGTTTCAGAAATGAACATTTGCTAGGGTTCGTCATCATTCTGTCTCTTTATCTCCAGGAATGAGCCGTTCTGTTGGAGGTTGATGACAGTTTACACGACAAAAAACTTGTAATCTGACTTTGGATTTGTTCAGCCTAATTATTGTTTGAACCAATGGCCAACGCCTCAACATTATTCTGTTCCAACAATAGAAGTTAGAAGTTAGCTCTTACAACTGTCAGATCTGATTTCTGTTGTCTTTCTGCTGATGCGCATCATCTGAAGCCCAACAAATGGGAGAGCCAACAGTATGATTTTTGTTACCGCTGTTTTTGGGAACTCCGTCTCAATTACTTTTGAGAGTTCTAAGCCAAATCTGGTGCTTCTAGACCAGGTCATCCCTCTTGGTTGGATCAGTCATTACAATTTCTCGATGCTATTAGCCTACACAAAACTGAAAGGGAGTGTTACACGATGAATTGAATGAAGAGTGCAATTACTTATCATTTGTTCCACTTTACGCAGCAAGACGTAATGGACAGTGGAAATCCAAATGACGGTTTCAGGTGTTCACTGCACTGTTGTCAGCATCTGTCAGATTCCCTGTGTTTGTAAAGTTGGAACGCTTGTATATGGTTTACCCCGAGTCCCGAGTGTCAATTGTCACCTTTAAACAACAAATGTCGAACGCACTGAGGAATATTAATCACTGTCACACAAAGATGTTGTTGTGTGTCTGAACAAAGAGAGCGGAAGATGACGGGCTGCTACATCCTCACAGTGGACGTCGGACTCTATTTTCAGGGTTGATGATTCTTACACCTTTCACTACTGAATTCGCTATTGATTTGAAAGAACTGACTACTGTTTACTTAGGACCAAATTAGACTAAAATGGCATTCAAAGGTACGATCCAAGACAGCCCCACAAATACTCGCTTCACTATAAGCCAAAAGATTAACTGTATTTTTGAAAATATTTTAGCTAGTTCTGGAGGGTCAGGGTTTACGTTACGTTAGTTAATTGTGTATTTGAAACGCGGTAAAAATTATGGACAATAGTATTTTCAGGTGGGTTAGGTGAATTTCTTACTAGGTGGCGTTTCGCTTTTAATATAAAAGCTTCGTTTCGTCAACTGAATAATTCAACGAGTTGATCACGTTTTCATGTAGGTAGAGAGACAGTCAACGAGATTTCTTTTAGCCATCAAAATTGGAAAGTGCTAGATATTGGTCGAAAACCTTCTTCACTTGTTTCAGTGAGTAACACCTACGACTGGTGTGTCAAGGATAAATCAGTGATCATTTCAGTAGGGAATTTTGCCTTTGGGGCATCTTATTTAAATATCCCTGTTCGTTGTTGTTCTCAACTTTCTCCTGTCCAGGGTGAATTAATTAGTGCCCTGATGATTGAGTAGGAGACTGTGGATATTAAACGATTTTACTCGGCTTGGGTTTTCTTCCTCAGATCCAAAATGTATGTACGGGTGGTTGTACGGCACTCACCACATGTGAACGCAATCGTCTTTCTTAATAGCATACAACTTGTAGAAACAGCTTTATGGATATAATCAAACTATTGTATAAATGGGATTTGAATTCCATTGGCTGTGGATATATTTATCATTAGTTTTGCGAAAGCCAATGGCTTAAAGCCCCGGCTGTCATCCTGGAAGGTATCACTGGCCAGGCTGATAGAAGCCTACTGCGATTTGCCTTCCTGATTTGGTTTTTCCGGCTCCATCTGTATTCATTATCATCTCAGATTTATTTCGCATGTAAGACTACATTTTAATGATTGATTTCGAATTTTATTTTCTGGTGCTTCATTTTATGTGTACTTCATCCTGGAATAACCGCTCTAACTCTTTAAACACCTGAGAGAACCGCAGAACTGCAACACAACCGTCGTTAGGCTGTCCAAGCTGAACAACTGTCAGCATTAGCTAGCCAAATATGCGTCTTCGGTGCGTTCTTATGAGTGGTGTGGGCTAGCATACCATATTGTGCTTATATTATTGGTCTCCAATGTTCACTGTCCTTAACTGGCCTGGCAACTAATGCCACCAATTGGGAATATTTCTACCCCCCCCCTGATCGCCCTCCCTCATGTTTACACCAGGTACAACTGGGTGCGTAAACGGTTCACCGCGAGGGGCGTGTAGAATGACCTATCGTTCACCGTGGTTTCTTGGAGTAGTTCAATATGACAGGCAAATAAGGAAATGGGTGCCAGTCCAGTACTTTTCAGGAACAATCTCTCTATTCTAGATTAGCACACTACATTTCTCTTGTTGGCATCATGCCGCCAGACGTTCGACAGGGGAAAACGCTTTTCGTCAAATCCTTGAGTTTCATTTGCGTTTAGTTAGTTCGTTACCCTCACCACTGTCAACTAAGCCAAACGTGAGGAAAATCTAATGCATATGAAAGTGAGCAAATATTGGCGGAATTGCTATTTAGATGTCCAAAACTACAAGTTTACCTGTTAAAAGCCCACACCATTCTTTGTAGATTCGATTTTCTCACAATATACCAGGTTTACTCATCATTCAGTGGAGCATGGGCTTAAAAGTCAGTAGAGGGAGTTACATAAAAACATCTATTCATAAATGAATGGATGAAACCGTATATGCTCATGGAAAAGCACGACTAATGCTGATTCATTTCAAGGAGGTGTGGGTTGGCAAAGGGTGATTGATCAATAATCACTTTTCATCAAAGGTAAAGGCCTCATAAGCAAAGCTCACTTTTTGACAAACTGTCATATTTACACACGAATGGGATCTTGATAAGGCATTCAGTTGAAACCAGTTAAATTTCGAGTTTATGGTGGTCTGCTTCACTTCAGTGTGACCTCATAATTGATTCGGGCTTCTGCAAACTGCAAAGATTGATGAATGCGTAGAACAAAACTGTGGCCAGCGATCAATTCTTGCTCAGGAATCCTTGGTACTGGCTGTTATAAACGACCATCCACATAAAATATACAGCGGCATTCAAAAAATTGACCAAACACTGTAAAAAAAGCACTCATTTATCTAGAACTAATCCTCCTAGTATAGTGCAGTGTCATCTTATGGCCACATGGAACTTGGTGGCTTCAAAATCACAACTTTCATTCAAGACAATGAGTATTGATTTCACGGTTTTGGGGATTGTTTGTCCCAATCACCAAATTGTCCCTCGTGTCGTACTCTCGGTCTTTCTGCACATCTGGCATCCAATCTGCTAAACGTATACATGTCGAAACGGAATTCGCGCAGCAGGTATGTGAATATCAAATTAACCAAGTGTTAAGGTGACATTCGGAACCTGGTCAGATTTGAGAAGTATGTCGATCATTTAATACCAAGATTAGGAATTTTTGATCTCATCCGCAGGTTAAGTCCAGTTTTGCTGAAAACCAGAGGGAATATTGTTAGGCGTTATCAGCAGTGCACATTTCATGAAACTCTAGGGCGATTTGACCCAAAAAATTCCTGACAATTTTCCGAAGATTATACATCCCCAAATTGTGTGAGCCTAAATTATGAGAAGCCGTCAAACGAGAAGTCGGTCAGAAAGCGTAAACATGGCGTGTACTGCACGACAAAATTAAAAGTGCAAGTTAGTGAACTCACTTAACAGACGATTCTGGCTGAACAGTTTAGTCTTCGATTGGCAGCGGGGAGGTTTTGAAGTCTACTCCCCGTGGAGAGGCAGGCACTAACGATGAAACTGCACATTGCTTCTTAACTT